TACCAAGAAATAGTTTTAAATTTCACTCTAGGGATACTTGCTGAGAGCGTAACTCAACCCAAATCATACTGTATTAAACTTTTTTTTGTAGAAACCACTTTTCAGTTTCAGTTTAACTTTTAGTTCTGAGAATGATGTTAATTTAAAATCCACTCATACAAATTCAAAGTTAATTTATTCAGTGTTTTTATACCAACCTAATATCTTAGTGTTGGTTTTGAAGAGATGATGTAATATTGCTTTTTTATTTCAGAGGCATTTGATTCAGTAGAGTTGTGATACTTAAAAAATTTAATGTTAACAGCATTTTGTCTTATTGACTTTTGAATCCCTGAAAGCAAAAAGTACATTTGGGTTTTCCCAATTTTAAATGGAGTGGGAAGTATGTGATTGGATTATTGGGACAAATACAAGATGACTGACCCAGGGCTGGTGCTGTGGCGTAGCAGGTGAAGCCACTGCCTGCAGTACTGGCATCTGTATGGGCGCTGGTTCAGTCCTGGCTGCTCCACTTCCAATCCAGCTCCCAGCCAGTGCCTGGGAAAGCAGTGGAGGATGGCCTAAATATTTAGGCTCCTGCACCTGCATGGGAGACCTGGAAGAAGCTCCTGGTTCCTGGCTCCTGACTGGCCCAGCTCCAGCCATTGTGGCCATCCAGGGAGTGAACCAGTGGATGGAAGATCTTTTAGTCTCCATCTCTCCCTCTCTCTCTGCAACTCTGCTCCTCAAACAAAACAAATAAATCTTTAAACATAAAATGAGTGACCCACGGTAAATGCTAAATATGAATTCTTTATTTTTCCTGTCCTTTGTGAATTATTTAGCAACATTATTCTATGAATGTGGAGATTTATTCCTAAGAAACTTTGGCAATGTTTTCAAGAGTTGAAATAATAAACTTTTTTAACAAACATTTTTTAGAAGAAACCAAAGACAGAGGAGCACCCACAGCACCTCAGAATAGCCAGTTAACGTGGAAGCAAGGCAGACAGCTGTTAAGACAGTAGGTACACAGTTTATGTTCAGCTTTGCTTAGGATTTAGGTAGACAAGTACATATATTAAGTCGGAAGTCAAATGTTACTTAATTGTAATTGGACAATATGTATATTTTTCATAGTGCTACTTTTTGCTATGTAGAACCTTGGTTCATTTTAAAGTTTGTTTCCTCTGGGTGTCAAAAAAACCTTGCTTTCTTATTTGCAGGATAGACTGTCTAACAGACTGGATGACTTCCAAAACCAGAACAAAAATAATATAGAGTCTATTCTTCTAGACTTTTCTGTCCCTTTTCCTGCAAAATTTCCAAGTTGGTTTCTCTTTTGTGGGAATGTGACTGGCTTAGGATTATTCGACATTATTATTAGAAATGACTTGCCAAATCCTCAGTTTGTTGAATTTTTGAGGAAGCTTTTTGATGGAATTCTCTGCTGTATTGGAGGTACTTTTAGGGCAAATGTTGGTTTCTGTCTTATCTGGTCCTTTCCTTATACATAGTTTGCAAACTTTGGTACTTGCATCCTACCGATACTCTGTAATTTAGAACTGTGCAGCCTTCCCAGCTCTGGGCAGCTTTACTTTCACGTCAGTGACCCCACGAAGCGTGGTCAGCCCTTTGACCTTGTTCTCACCAACAAGTGCTCCTCTGGACCACTCCACGGTGTGAACAGTCATCATGCATCTCAGCACTGCCTTTCCCGTCCCACAGGCTTTGCCTCTGGTTTTACCTGGATCTTCCAGGTCCTCACCTACCGAATGTTCCTCGTCAGCCCCTTTGCCCGGGGTTGCTTTTATCTGTTCTGTTTCCTTAGTGCTCAAGACAATGACGCCAGTCACGTAGTCCATCTCTAAGGAACTGAGGGTCCTGCGAATTCAACCAGATCAGGGGACCTTTCACATTATTAATTGAAGGGAAAATGGAGGCCCTTTAAAGGTTTTGTATGATAGAGAACAAAAGGAATTAGGGGGTGCCTAATGCAAATGCAAACTCTTCAAGAGCTGCCCTGGTCTGTTGGGAGCCAGGAGCAGGACCCGCGCCCTCCTGGGGAAGGGCCCCCTGGTGACATCGTCCCTGTGCCGTTTCTGCTAAGGCCTTGGCTGACTTTCTCCAAAGACTCAGAACAGGCCGATGTTACCATCCTTAGGCCCTCCAGAAAGCCAACAAGAAAAATGTCTTGCTGTGACCTTTGCTTTTTTTCTTAAGATTTATTTTATTTATTTGAAAGACAGAGTTACAGAGAGAGGTAGAGACAGAGAGAGAGGTCTTCCATCAGCTGGTTCACTCCCCAGATGGCTGCAACCGCCGGAGCTGCACTGATCTGAGGAGCCAGGAGCCTCTTCCAGTGCCCATATGGGATGCGGGCTCTTCAGGCCAGGGCTTTAACCCGTTGCGCCACAGCGCCGGCCCTGACCTTTGCTCTTGACAAGTCCACTTTCGCTTTGTCTAGGCCACTTCCACCTCTTAGCAGCCACTTTTTAAAAGATTGCTTATTTTATTATTTATTTATTTATTTATTTTGAAGAGAAAAAGAAATACAGATCTTCCAGCTGCTTTGCTTTCAGGATCATCGTGGGTAAAACCATGTTTCCGTTCCTGTTCCAGTTCTTCAAAGAACTCCTTCAGGATCTTGATCCTGTCATCTGAAATACCCCTTGACAGCTCTGCTCCCGTCCGCAGCCGGTCTGGGTGCAGTGGTTAGGGCAGCCGCTGGGCAGAACGCTTGCTCCATTTTCATTTTTCGGTCAGAAGTCTGGAGGCTGTGGACGGTGGTGGCCATTGTTTCTGCCATTAGCTGGCAGTTCTCTTCAATCAGGGCTGAACGAGATGACTCTCTGGATTAGCAAACTGATCTGCACGGTCTGCCGTGGAAGCTTTCCCTTCAGCATTTGGTTTTGTTCCCCTCCTCCCTTTTTTCCGCTTAAGTTTTTGACACACACAGAGACCGAGCTCCCTTCTGGTCCACAAAGGCCCACAGTGGCCAGGGCAGGGCCACGCAGAGGCTGGGAGCCAGGCACTCAGCCCAGATCTTCCATGTTGGCGGCAGGGACCCGACCACTTGAGCCATCACCTGCTGCCTCCCAGACTGTGGGTGACCCCGTGAGACTGCCTGCCTAGCCCTTGCAGTTAGCCTGACTGCTGGCCGGCGGAAGGAGTCCCCGGCAGGTTTTCCCCCTCCCGCCAATCAGGGAAAGAGCTCCCGGGTGTGGCCCGGGTCCATGAGGCCCACCTGGAAAGCTATCCTAGCTACGTGACCTTCAACCTGATTGGAGAAGCAGCGCCAATATCAGCTCCATCCTATAGAATCAGTGTTGCCCTGAATTAGCCACGCCCCCTCTGCCTGCCCTTTACACAGTGGGCGTGGTCGTTAATAGAGCAGACAGGGTCACAGAGCTTCTTGCCAAAGAACGCTGTCGCTCACCATCCCTGCAGTGCGCGGGCCTCGCACCAGAGTGTGCATTAGCTGGGACGCAAAGACAGAGCGCTTGGCGAGCTAGAATACGCTCTATAGAGGCGACAACGAGAAAAGACTGCAGGGCCAGCTCTCCCTGTTTATAAGCCAACCAAGGGAAGCACTTATGAGTTATTTCCTGGGATATACAGAGCCTGAGTACTAAAGCAGGAGGTGACGAGACGGGGGTGCTACTCCCACAAACGGTAGGAAAGGAGGCCCCCCGGGGAGAAAGCCCGTTCTTGAGAAACTGCTAAGGAGTTTCTGTGAACCCTGACTTCGCACTTTGCACCATAGAAGTCCCAACCTCGGACGCTCTGGCTGTGGCCGGGCGTCTGAGTATCTGCCCTGGAGTCCCGTGTGTGACCCAGTGTGGGGCGCCCTGGTCTTGGCCTGCACCTGCGCCTCAGTGGCTCGCTCCTGAGTCCTGCATGGTCCCTTGTTTGCCTTTGGGGGAGGGGGAGAGGTTGACCTAAATCTATAGATAACGGAAGCAGTCCTCATTCCCACAGTTTTCTGCGTTGTTGCCATAGGGTTTGGACTGAAGCAGCAGCCTTGCCCGGTTATCTCCCGGGAAGAAGGCTAAACCGTTACTGCGTTCCTGGCATCTGGGGCGTGGGTCTTCGTGACCACCTACGGCACACCTCCCGCGGGCCCTCTGAGAACCTGCAGGCCGTGAGCTTTTCTGAGCCCTGGCTGAATTCTGTATTCGATCAGTTCTCTGCGACCTCATCCTGTCTCGCTGTTGTAGTGGCCATTCCGATTTGCTACTCACAAACCCCTCGTCAGAGCCACCAGCTACCAGATCAGCCCCAGCGGTTGAGGCATTCTGAATTTTAATTCTAAACCTAAACTGGCGGCGGGTGGGGCTGGGGAGTCATAGGCAATGCTGAGATCAATTTCCAAAGCCATCAGCTTTAGGGCTTACTTAGGCCGCCTCACCTAGTGACTCGTCGGCTGATCCTACGTGGAAACACCTTCCCGCCCCACAAACACCCCCGCGCCTGGTTTAAGTCCCTCCAGCTGGTCGTCACCACCCCCATCCCAATCAGTCTGCCTTCTCAGCAGAACCGTGGGATTTCCACGCCCTAGCCCCGCGGCCCGGGCCGGTCTTTTTATTCCCAACACCTGGGTAGCCAGCCACTCGCCTCGGCTTCACTTTCCCGCTCCTAGTAGCTTGGGCACACGTTCAGGGTTATGTAACACATGCGTGTCACCGTGCCTGTGCCCAGGGTACTTGGGAAAATGACGGTGGTTACAGTTACACCACGGCATCCTAGGTGAGAAGCGACCCACGCACAGGTGCACCGACCCGAGGCTGCGCGTCCGCACCACCCACTCCCCACACGCGAGCACACACACGTACAGGCGCACAGCCAGCCTCCAAACAGGCTCCGGCCGCCTCCTCCCGCCGCCGGAGACGCGCCAGGGCTGCAGGGCGCTCCGAGCGCTGCCGGGCGGAAGCAGGCAGGTGTGGGCCCCGGCGGCGCGGAGGCGCAGGCGGGCGGGCGGGCGCGGGCTCGGCGAGGGAGTTCCCGCAGCCCGCCCCGCCCCGCGCACCCGCGGCCCCTCCTCGCCTCGCCATGGTGGAGCAGGGAGACGCCGCGCCGCTGCTGCGCTGGGCCGAGGGCCCCGCCGTCTCCCTGCCGCAGGCCCCGGAGCTGCCCGCGGGAGGCCGGGCCCGGGGCGGCGGCGGGGGCGCGCGGCCGGCCGCGGAGCTGCCCGCGAGGCGGGAGCCCGAGGGCCCGGCTGCCTCCGAGGTGCTGCTGCAGCCCGGGCGCCTGGAGCTGCGCGACGTGGAGGAGGACCAGGTGGTGGCCGTGTTCGTGGTCACCTTCGATCCCCGCTCGGGTGAGAGCCGCCCTGGGGCCCGGGGTGCGGAAAGGGGCAGGGCACCCCCGCGCTGTAGAGGCGGGGTGGGGGGGGGGAGCTCGCTGCGCGCGCACCCGCACACCTGCACCCCCTGCCCGCCCGTGGACCCCGGGCAGCGCGGGGTCCGGGGTGTCCCCTCTCAGAGCCGGCCCGCGGGGCTTTGTTTCGGCCCCCGCCGACCCCGCTCGGGTCTCCGTCCCGCCACTGCCCTGCTCCCACGTCGTGCCCATCCCCACGATCGTGTTTGCCTCTCCAGTGTCGGCGTCGCGCCTGTGACCCCGCACACGGGCTTTTTTTCCCGTGGGGATGGAAAGTGTTCCCAGGTGGGGAGGAGGGAAGCCCCGGGCGCACGCCCCCCGGCGCGGAGTGCCCCGGGCGTCCCCGGCCCTGGCCCGCTCGCCCTGGCGCCCCGCCGCTCCCTCCGCGGTAACTTTCCCAGCGGCCAAGTTCACTTTCTCTGCGTGCTGTGGGGGAATGAATGCGGCCGGGGCCGGGGCCGGGGGAGTCCGCCTCCCGAACGGGCTCCGGCTGGGACGTGTGGAGCACGAACCGGTCATCTCAGAGTCTTTAGCGGGGTGGGGGAGGGGGCGTGCTTCATTTTAAGGGCGGGAAGAGCCCCCGGGGGATGGAAACGGTGGGCACGAGTCTGCGCTCGCGGGAAGCCCGGCGTGGGCTGGGAGGGGCGTCCGCACCCCACGGCTGCCCCGCGGTTCGGTTTTGGAGTCAGGGTCCCGGGGCTTAGGAACACCCAGGTGTGACTTACTTGGGCGTGGGCCTTGGGGTTGCTGGAGTGTGCGGTGCTTGTTGGAAGAACTCCTCCAGTGAGGGTGAACGCGAACCCAGGGAGTGGGGCGCGGGCGGAGGGTCAGGGCGCAGTGTGCGGATGCTGCTGTAACCGGGCAGGCTCGGCTTGGTCAGGGATTCTGGGTGCGCGGGACGCCGGGAGGATGCGGGATTCCCCGAGTCCAGGTCCCATTTGTAGCGACAAGAGTTGGTGGAGAGAACACAGGCCCTCTCCCGCCTGCTCTGCTCCTCTGCCCCACTCCATGGCCAGGGCTTTGTGAGCCGCTTCGGAAATTCTACTCGCAACCACTACACACATGAAGCTACATATGTTACAAGGACCCTTCCAAAAGTTCATGGAAAATGGAATTAAAAGATAAGCTTTTGTGGGTGCCAAACATTTTTTAAGTCATGCGCCCTGCTGTACTTAGTTTCAGGAAGGGCTGACCCCTCTGCAATGAGGGAGGCTGTTTTAGATACGCGTGTATTTCAGTGCTTCACACATACTGGCTGACTGGCATATGGTTTGAAAATACTGGTCAGTTTTGACCAAAATGATCTTTAAAGCCAGACCCCACCCCCCACCCCCAGAAAAGATACTTTGTAACCACAGATGCTCTTCAACGTAGCCAGAAGTTACTTCCTGATAAACCCACTGTAGGCTGAAAAGTGAGCTGAACGTCCCAGCCCGTCTACTGTGCACGTATCACATCCACACCATTCTAAAGTAGACACATCCTAACAGGAGCCATCCTAGGTCCCTGATCGTGTTTCCTCATGCCCGTCACCGCACCTGACTATCCGTCCACAAGCTCAAGATTCCTTCTCGGGGAGAATGTTAGGAGTAACCAGAAAAAACGGAAAGGGAACATTAACAGGGTCTGATTTAGTGGTGGCCTGGTTGCTACTCTAGGGAAAAGAAAGACAAAAAATCCTGTACTAACCACAGATAGAATTGATCACATTGGTAATTATTGATATTGATCAGTGGATAGAAAGCACCAAGGAGCTGTGACCCTCTCCCATGCTCTGTCACAGCCAATGAGAATGGTGAGAATGGTTTTATGGGTTGGTGAATGTGGGGTGTGCACGTGTGTGTGTGCGCACTCAATGGTTTTCAGACTAACACTATTGTGAAAGAAAGGATTATTATTGATACTTAGGTACCTTGTACAGGCATTTACAATTAAGTTCTTTGATTTTTTTTTCCATTTTAAATGATTTATTTGAAAGAGCAGAGTTACAGAGAGAAATCCTCCATCTGCTGGTTCACTCCCCAAATGGCCACAACGGCTGGGCTGGGCTAGGAGACAGGAGCTTTCTCTGGGTTTCCCACGTAGGTGCAGGGGCCCAAGGACTTTGGTCATCCTCTGCTGCTTTGCCAGGTGCATTAGCATGGAGCTGAATCAGAAGTGGAGTAGCCAGGACTCAACACACAGCCGTATGGGCTGCTGACGCTGCAGGGGGTGGCTGTATCCCCTGTGCCAGAGCACTGGCCCCTAAGCTGTTTGATTTAATGCTAAATGCTACCCTCCAATTTGCCGGTCATTTGTATGCAATTATGCATGAGGAAACAGACCACAGACGGTTAAGTCATCTGGAAATATCACTACTCATTAACTACTTGACTCTGAGTCTGGTTGTCTTAACAGTGTGCCATCCTGCCTGAACCTCTGCCCCCTAACTTCCCGTTACCTATCCCGAGTTCTGGGAGGAGGGGGAAGGAGAGGAAGACGGTGAGAGAAGGAAATGTGTGAGTGTGGAGCACTTCTAGCTTTGGCCGTGGTTGACTGGGAGAGCAGTTGTTTTCATATTCTTGGCTCTTTTGTCATCCACTCCAAAATGGCACTTTGCATCCTGTAAAAATATTACATAAGAATGATACGGCGTATCTAAAAGCAGAAGATAGAATGAATGGGTGCCACTGAGGTCGTTGGACATTGAGGGTTAGCACTGTGACAAGGAGCCTAAGAGAGTATCTGGTGAGCGCCTGTGTGCTGGTTGAGCTGTGTCCTGGAGAGAGACAGACATGCTTGCCCTGTGGGCCAGAGACTTTGTGGGCCAGAGCTGTCTCCTGGCCTTAGGCCTGTGTCTCTCTCTCTCTCCTCCCGAGGCATGTCTGCTGTATGCTCCTGTTTAATTTTGGTCCAGCCAGACTTCTGCTGTTCCTTAGGCTAATTTACCAAAAGCAACACAGTGAATACTGGCTTCTGTATCAAAATGAGAGCATAGCACAGAAGCCATCATGTGGGAGTGATCTGTTCACAGGTTCTGTCTCTGGCCTGCCCATCCAGCGGCTCTCCTACGTCATCCCAGCTGCGTCCTCAGGTTCCATTCCCAGAACTCCTTCCCCACCTCCCCAGTTACTTACTGCCCAAACCAGGGGGTATTCTTCATGCAGCTGCCCTGGTGTGTGAGTAACGGTTAGCCTGTGTCCAACTCAGGGTGCGTGTGTGTGAGAGAGAGGGCGTGCGAGAGCGAGCGAGCAGGGGGTAGCGAGGGAGAGAAAAGGACATGGTGGAGGAGAAGGGAGTGCGTAGCTGTGGGTACCTCTGTGAGGAAGAGGATGTAAGAGGGAAAGTGAGGGAGGACCAGACCCATCCTTGTTGGAGTAATTGCGTTTGGTAGGAATGTACTTGGTGATTCTCTGCTATATTTGGAAAAAAGAGTGACTCATTGGCATATTGTAAGGTTGGGCATTCCTAGGAAAAATCCAAGATTATTTTCATCGGACACATGGCTTGAAAGTTATGGTTGCTGGATGCAGAAACGACATGAGGATGGGGCTTCAAGTTCAAGGTGAGATGTGTGTGCCCGCACTGACACACACTCACACTCTCAGCTCTATCTGGAGCAGGAGCCAAAGGGTGGTGGTGCTGGCCATCTGGGCTACAAAGCTGCTATTGAAACCCAGCCCAGATGCCAGCTCTGCAAGCCGTGTGGAAGAGGTTGGCAGCCAGCGTGTTGCTTTTTCATTGTGCTCAACCCCATGAGTTAGAGCCTTAAGTTTTATCTTGTTCTTTGCATGTCTAGGAAAATTCTTTTCTCTGCCTAATTAGGGAAAGTGGTGCTGTCTCAGTTAGGGAGCTCAGCCCCATGGTGGTGGCAGGAGCTGTCTTCCCAGGTGACCGAGGACCGTGTGCACCTGAGCCTTTGGACCTCCGTAGTCTGGTCCCCTGGGAAGCCGCCTCCTTGGACTGTTTGTTTCTAAGGCATTCACTTTAATCTGCTACATTTCATCCAGAATTATTTTGGGGAGGTCTGGGGAAATTCCTCTGCTGTGTGCCTTTGTATTGGAGTGGCTTGGAAGGCGAAGGGGTGCTGAGGGGCAGGTCATCTGCTGGGGTTTCCAAGATAGTTCTTTTGTTCTTGCTAATTAGGAATGAATTACTTATTACCTGCTTTTCCCTGGCCTCTAGCCAGTGCCCAAGTTATATTTAAACACATATTTAATTTAGTGCATCTAAGTGGTCCACGGATAGATATATTTTTAGCCCCTTTCACACACTCATTTTAATCTCCATTGATTCCCTGTATACTCAACGAAATATAAGCATTTCTTGTAAACAGTGGAGATGAGAGAGGCATGGTGTAACTTGGAGTTCTGCCGAGGTCCTGACTCCAGGCAAGTGGGAAGTGGCTTAGCGACCAAGTGGAATGTGAGTGGGAAATTTGGAGATGCAAAGAGCAGGCCTCTTGCTGGCCGGTTCTGTCACTGTCCTTTCTCTGTGGTTTCCTTTGGATGTCAGCGCAGCACACTTGTGGTTGACTCGATGAGTCCCACCTTGGCAGACTCTGCCCGGCTCTGGGTGATTCATCTGCTTGCGGTTCTCAAGGAGACGTCAGTCAGTGGCCGTCTGTTGTGGATGCCGTTTCTCCTCTCGTGCCGCGAGAAGGCAGGAGTGGCCATCACAATGCCCACCTGTGCCAGGAACTGTGCTGAGTGCTGTGAGGACCTTGCTGCTGATCGGCCCAAGTCTAGGCTGTCGAGAGTAAGAGATGCCTGGCGTTCGGCTCACCCAGGGTCCTGAGGGGGGGAGGCCAGAGCCCGGGTCCCCTGCCTGCTGGGCCTGCACTCTTCCCCTCCGACACCACTGCCCAGTGGCACATTAGAGGGGGCTGGGAAGCGGAAGGTTTTGCCTTTGTGAAATGAATGCCTTGGAATTCAGCCATATTCAGATTGGCGTGTGGCTGAC